TTCAGCAACTGTAACCCTCAGGAAAATAAAGTCCCTGCTTGAGAGGCAAAAAGACCTGTAGGGAAAAAATGAACAACTTGAGAAGGGTCTCAGGCATGCGGCTTAGCTGCCCGTTAGGATCAATTGTAGGGACAGGTAGGCCCAAAGCTCAAAGGAGGGTAGGAGATTTAGCAGGTGTAGAAATCTTGTGAACCGTCCCATTGTGCATCACCACTAGAAACCTAGGCATCATCCACCAATACTCAGTTTCAGATGCTTTCAGTTGGCCTGTTATAGGTTCAGGGACCTTCACCACTGTAAAGTGGACTGGGTGAAATCTTGGTAGAACGTGAGTCTGGAGCCTTAGAAGGCGTATGATGTCTTGCCCTGCAATGCCATCAGCAAGATTCTTTTATATTGTGATAGTGAATAGCGGATGATTACATCTCTCACTGCGGATGTGGCTGCCCTGCTAGACGATCAATCCCGTCTAGGGATCATTTTCTTTATTTATTTTTTTATTTTTTTGTATTCTTTATTTGGTGGTTCGACGGAGGACACTGTGTCTCATGTACTGAAGAAGCTATTCTGTGGTGACCGGATCTTATGCCTCTGATATTTAGGTGGTTTTGTCAAGATGTGTCATCCATCACAGTATAATGGAGTGAGAGCGCATAATGCATTTCTTGCAAGGTTTGTATAGAGTCATTTAGAGAAGACAGACCCTGTTTAAGGTCCCCAATGTCCGAGGCCCTCATCCTATCTGCAACCGTTTGCATGTCAACCTTAATAATCATCACATCAGGTGGCAATAGATTCTTGATCTCCACTACTAGGTTTTAAAAATCCTGCTTGGTATCAGGAGCCATCCCATCTTGGGTGTCAAGTGGAGTGTGCTTAATTCCTGGAGGCTCAAGCCGTGTGGGTTATTTGGCCTGTGTAAGCAGGGCCGGACTGGGAATTAAAAGCAGCCCTGGAAAAAAAATATTTATCAGCCCCATAATGCGTCGCGCCAGCATAGTGTGCAGATACAGAGTTAGAACAGATAACTTAAAATGAAAAAGTACTTCAACGTAAAAAGCGCACTCATCGGCTTCAAAATAAACAAAAGTGCAGATTTATTTTAAGCAGACGTGCCTTTGCATGTAATCAATGTTTCAGTCCAACTACCTTGACATATTAAGGAAAGCTTGTTAATGGGACTGAAATGGTGAATGTATGTAGGGAACAACTGTAAAAAATGTTTATTTTTAAGTCCTGTGGGTGTGCTCTTCACTTTAAATATGTTATTGTGCTGGAGTATGCACCTAGCAACAAGACTGGGCCAATATCTGCTCATCACATATGGTACATATTAATGAAATTTCTCTGTGTATTATGCATATATAAATGTACATTAATATGTGTAAATATAATAGATATATATATAACTAATATACATGTCATATACCAGTGACGGATTCAGAGCCTGAGCCCGGGAGGGGCACTTGTAGATTATTTAAAGAAATATTCCATGCACAATAACCACTACTCCTCTGTGTAGTGGTTATGGTGCCAGGAGTGTCGGCACCCCCTCCCAGAGTAAGTAGTCAAACCGTTTAAGAACAGTTTGACAACTTACCTGGAGTCTGCTGGGATATGGGGCTGTAGTAGGGTATAGGAGCAGTGGTGCAATGTGTGTGAAAGGTTCAGTGTGTGGGTGTGGGGGCAGTGTGTGAAAGGTTCAGTGTGTGGGTGTGGGGGGCAGTGTGTGAATGTGTATGGTGTGTGTGGGGGCAGTGTGTGAATGTGTATGGTGTGTGTGTGGGCAGTGTGTGGGGGCTAGAGTTCACTCCTACTACTGCGACCACCAGGAAGTGGTGAGAGTGAACTCTAGCCCGTAGCTCCAGGGCTAGAGTTCACCCTCGTGAGAGCCGGAGCATTGCCCCGGGTCCTCTCTTTCTCCCCCTCACTGCTCCTCTGTGTCAATGTCTCCCCTCTCCTTCCCAGTCTCTCTCTTCCCCCTCTGCCTCTTTCTTCCCCTCCCCTTGTGTGTCTCTCATTTCTCCCTCTTTGTCTCTCTCTTCCCCCTCTGCCTCTTTCACCCCCTTTCCCTGTGTCTCTCCCTCCTCCCCATCTCTCTCCCTCCCCCCTTTCCCTGTGTCTCTCCCTCCAACCCATCTCTCCCCCCCTTTCCCTGTGTCTCTCCCCTCTCCCCATCTCTCTTCCTCCCCCCTTTCCCTGTGTCTCCTCCTCCCATCTCTCACTCCCCTTTCATGTCTCTCCCTCCAACCCATTTCCCAACTTTCCCTGTGTCTCTCCCTCCTCCCTATCTCTCTCCCTCCCCCTTTCCCTATGTCTCTCCTCTCTCCCTCCCCCCTTTCCCTGTGTCTCTCACTCCTGTGTCTCTCCCCTTTCCCTGTGTCTCTCCCCTTTCCCTGTGTCTCTCCCCTTTCCCTGTGTCTCTCCCCTCTCCCTGTGTCTCTCCTCCCCCTTTCCCTGTGTCTCTCCTCTCCCTCCCTCCCCCCTTTCCCTGTGTCTCTCCCCTCCCTCCCACTCCCCCTTTCCTGGCTGCCCTCTCCTCCTCCCCCTTTCCCTGTGTTTCTCTCCTCCTCCCATCTCCCTCCCCCTTTTCCTTGTGTTTCTCCTCCTCTCCCCATCTCCTCCTCCCCCTTTTCCTGTGTTTCTCCTCCTCCTCCCCCATCTCCCTCCCTCCCCCTTTCCTGTCTCTCCCCCCCTCCCTCCTCCCCCTTTCCTGTGTCTCTCCCTCTCCCTCCCTCCCCCACTTCCTAGCATCTCTCCCCTCTCCCTCCTCCCCCTTTCCTGTATCTCTCCCTCCTCCCCCATCTCTCCCCCTTTACCTTGTCAGGGGCCGGCCGGGTTCCTGGCTGGAGCCGCCGGGCCGGTTGGCAGCTTCCCCGGTCCAGCGGCCCTGCTCCTGTCACTGGCTGCTGAAGGAGGAGGAGCCTGTCTACCATGCTCCCTCGCGGATCCTGTGCTGGGAATTGTGGGAACCGCGAGGGAGCATGGTAGACAGGCTCCTCCTTCAGCAGCCAGTGACAGGAGCAGGGCCGCCGGACCAGGGAAGCTGCCACCCGGCCCGGTGGCTCCATTCTGGAACGCGGCCGGCCCCCTCTCAGTGTGCCACCTATGTGGCAGCCCAGCCCCCAGGTGCCGCGGCCCACCGGGAAATTTCCTGGTATTCCGGTGGCCCAGTTCGGCCCTGTGTGTGAGGCCCAGCAGTGCATCCGAGGCCTCGCAGCTCTCTGGTGTGCCATTTTCAGTTGAGCTTGCCATTGAAGAAGGGAAGAAGGCCCTGGAGTCAGGTTACGGATTCTGGAATCACAGTCCCATAGTAGATGTAGATTTTGGCTGTTGAGCGCTGGATACAGATCCTGCTTCAGGCACTTCGGGAGGCACAAACCAGACAAGTCGAGATCTGAGGGCAGATCAGTGGCGTATATGCAGGGGGCGCGGCTGCGACCGGGCCCGGCCCACCAGGGGGCCCGGCCGCCCCTGCGACCCGGTATGTATGCCACTGTGGCCAGCCTCTTCTACCCAGTGCTTCCTCTTCAGCTCCCTCGCGCACCGTACTGATACCGGAGCCGGAAGATGACGTCCTCATACGGCGCCGGCATCCCTAAGCGGCGCGCGAGGGAGCTGAAGAGGAAGCACTCATAGTAAAGTGCTCCCTCACGCGTCCACCAGCCTGCCAGCCTGCCCAGTGATACCACTGGACCCCAGGGAATCCCCTCAGCACTCCCACAAGTAAGGAGGCTAGGGGATTACATTTAAAAAAAAAAGTGTGTTAGTGTCTCTGTCAATGATTGTGGATGTATGAAACTGCTATGTTTTCAGCTGCAGGGTTAAAACTAGAGGAACCTGGCACCCAGACCACTTCATTGAGCTGATGTGATCTAGGTGTCTGTAGTGGTCCTTTAATTGTATATGTATCTGCATGCACTGACGTATATACAGTGTGTGTGTGTGTGTCTTAAGCACTTACTTTTCTCCAGCGCCGGACTCCCTTGGCGCTGGGGATCTCTCCGCCCCGATCCGCCTCTCAGCTCTGAATGCGCATGCGTGGCAAGAGCCACGTGCGCATTCAAACCGCCCTTAGGAAAGCATTACTCAATGCTTTCCTATGGACGTTCAGCGTCTTCTCACTGTGATTTTCACAGTGAGAATCGCGGAAGCTCCTCTAGCGGCTGTCAATGAGACAGCCACTAGAGGCTGGATTAACCCTCAGTGAAACATAGCAGTTTCTCTAAAACTGCTATGTTTTCAGCTGCAGGGTTAAAACTAGAGGGACCTGGCACCCAGACCACTTCATTGAGCTGATGTGATCTAGGTGTCTGTAGTGGTCCTTTAAGTGTATGTGTATCTGCATGCACTGACGTACATACCGCGGTCACATCCCTGCGACCAGGTGCCCGCCGCCATGTGTTGCATCCCCAGCCTGCGCAGAGTAAGTGCGCAGGGAGGCCCACGGATCAGTTTTCCCACCGGGGCCCCATGGGTTATGTGTACGCCACTGGGGCAGATGGTAGGCCCAAGATTTGCGTCTCTGACGTTTTTTGCCTTGGGAGTTTGGGAAAATGGTATAGATCGCCACTGTGGTGTCTCCAGAGGTGAATTCTAGCTGATGACTGTGTGGATGCGGAAGTTAGCTACCAAAAAGCAAACTTTTTGAAGGATTTATGGCTTCATCTTAAGGTCACGCTCCGCCACCTCCCTCCCCAATTTAGGTTTTTACACCACTTTTAGAACATCTCATAAATCTTCCCCAATGTCTGTTTCTCTTCCTCTGTCTGCTCGTTCTATGCTTGCTGACCGTTATTAGAACAATAACTGATAGGGAGCCAAGATGGAGCAACCTAGTTGCAGTGCAAAACTGTGGATTTTAAACTTGTTTTTATTTATTTTTTCTAAATCTTTTTTTTTTCACCAAAGCACATTTGTTAAATATGTGGGATAGGTAGGCATGTGAAAAATCTTGGGAAGTGACAATTCCATTTTTAAAGATTATATTTTGTGTTTAGATACTACGCTTGATCCACATTTCGTCATTGATAATGCTGTGTCCAACATAATTTGTTCCATTGTGTTTGGAAGACGCTATGACTATGATGACTCCACCTTCCGAGAGGTGCTTAACCTCATCCATGAAAATATAAAGAGTTCCACTAGTATTTGTGCACAGGTAAGAACATAACGCAGGTTTGTTGGGTGACAAACAGGATTTCCCAATTTTGTACAATATGTTACAAGTTTTTATAGTGCATGCACACAAAAACAATCTGATGCTAAGAATTGATTTCTCATCAAGGCATTTGACCATCCCCCTCCACCCAGTAACTTTTTTCTTTTTTTAAATTCTGTTAGACAGTATTATGTTTAAGTCTGTTCACTCCATTAAAAGATCACTCCGGGCATCATAACAACATCATCCCAGTGTAGATTGGACACCATCTTATCTTAAAGTTTAAACCGTTTACAAACCACTTCACTCCAAAGTGCTCTCAATGATGCCCACCCCGATGACCCCTCTCCTCAGGCCCCAACTTCAATGTGGAAGCCTTTCTCTGGGAGCAGATGATGGGGTGAGAGCATCAACTGACATCCTTAGTAAATTAGTGACCTTCTATTGAGAAAAAATGCACATTAAGGTATGTACGATAACTCACACAGTGATGAATAGCACTCTATGGATATTGTTGTAGTGACCATTTCTAGGTTGTCACTGTGGCTTAAAGTAACCTCTGCACTGGTTTTTGGAGGGGCCTGTTTGCCAGCCTCCTACCTTGTGACTATGGCCCCTGCAACAGACCTGGCTAAAATACTTTAAACAGGCTCTGTTCGTGCAATTGGGACTATATGTTTTGTTTACCAAACAGCCGCACGAACCAGAGACCAGCCTGGAGCTTGTTAAGCTTAATTGATACATTGTTGCAATTTCCACCGCAGTGGTCTTAGTGTTCATCTGAGTGGCCGCAATTCCTATGGACGACCACGAGGTGGCGACCATCTTGTTCGCATGGACCAAAACCGCGAATAGACTTCAGGGAGACTTAGCTGCGAATGCCGGGGAACTATTTTCGGCATAAAGACATTGCGGGTCCCTGTCGGTCCTTCAGTGGCACTTAGCCGCAATTCTATGGAATTATTTTCGGCTATGGGACCATGCCTGTGGTTGGTCAAATAAATGACTTCCAGGAAATCCCTGAACTGATCTGGGTGATTTTTGGAGATGTTGGTCACCTTAATCAGGTCTATCAGGGGATGTGACATTTATGTGTTTTTGGGGTACTTTTGGGGTTTTGTAAAATATGTAGTTTTTATGTCTGGAGATAATTAAATTGATACAGTATCTAACTCTATTATCTCCCAGACAGAGGGGAGGGATTATGTGGGAGTGTCGTGCCTTGTAAACTTATTGTTATTGGTCTGTGAAGTTGCAAATCAGTCCCCCACAAGGTCCCTGTGAGTGTACCCTTTGCATGGGAGTGTGGCTCCCATTAAACTGAGATTCGTTTACCCCTTCATGGAGTCTTGGCTCATGTTTGGGGGATTGGAGAACTACATTCACTCTGGGGATTGGTAGATCACAATACTCTCCTGCGTATAATCACTAGCTCTTATAAGAGCTGTTCCTGCTACGCTCTCTGGACTAGGAGAGGTCTACCCACTTGAAGCTGGATCCTGGTCTTGGGTCCTGGGTGGGTGGAGGACAACGAGACCCCAACCAAGCTGTGGCGGTTCGTGGGGTCTACGATGGTTATGGTGTTCCAGTACAGTGCTTATGGTGCTCGCAAGTACTAGGAAGCAGCGCTTAACGGAGGTACCCGGTCAGGGTGCCAGACGGTCTGTCACAGTCACCAACCAGCTTATTCTGTAACTGGGTGGAAAAAGAAGTTTCCTAAAGTATGTTGAGAATATATATATATATATATATATATATATTTAAAGGGGCACTCCAAGCACCAGAACAACTTCATCTAAATTAAGTTGCCATGGTGCTTGGAGGCACTCTTATCACAAGAGGTTAAACTGTTTTTGAAGGGTTTAACCCCAAAGTTGCCTCCAGCAGCAGTGTCCACAATTTGTGTCATTTTAAATGCCAATTTTATAGGCCATGTGTCTTGCAGTGGTAGCATTGTACAATAGCATGCCCTAGTTAGTGTGCATCATACATAGGAGGTTAGTGTAGCACCTAAACAGTCGAAGAGTATATAATGACAAGAAGAGAAAAAAAGCAGAAGAAACTAATCGTGTAGTATGTAAAACTGAAATTGGTATAAATATGATAAATGGCACTCACACTTTTTTGGAGCTTCAATGCAGCTCCAACTTATGCGCCTGGGCGGAGCAAGGGTAGGTATAAATATAAAATGTATATTCACATGTAGTAAGACTGTAAATATGGCTCCGAACTAGCGTATGAAGTGGTATGACACACTCATGGATATGGGTGTAGACAAACTTTTTCTGTGGGAGTGTGTGTGTGTGTGTGTGTGTATATAATAATCAAAATAATTTTCCTTGCACTCAGGCTAAACTCTCTTGTGCAAATGCCGGGTGCCAGTCCTAGGGTTTGCTGATACAAAACAAATGAACATGTGGGCTGCACTCATGGTCTTCCATATAAAGTTTCTTTTATTCCATAGAACAAATCAACAGATCGATGTTTCGGTCCTTTCTGGGACCTTTCTCAAGATCAAATGGCATAAATATAAATAAATAAAACAAATAAGTGTACACCGTAAATATGGAGTGTAAAATACCATAAAAAGATAAAAAAATCTTACTCCCGTGCTTTAGAGCAAAGTACGGTTTGCTCAATCCAATACGCTATTATCCCCAAAAAAGGATGCAGTCTAAAGATCCTGACACCCCTCCCAGGGTGAGGCAGGCTTTTATATCCTGTTAATTAGGTATCAGATTCAGCTGGAGAGTTACTGACAGATCAGAGCCTTTGGTGAAGTCCAGCCCCCTGGTGCTGCAGGCAATACAAGAATAAACAGGAGTTATCCAAAGTCCTGAAATGGCTCAGAGGGAAGATAGCAGGATACGGTCCAGAAGAACCACAGTTCAAGTCCCCTATCGGGTGCTTCCGGAGCGACCACGTCTGGCAGACTGGATGTCACGGCGTGAACCGTGACACTCAACCTCTGTCTGGACTGTCTTGAGGTCGGCCCCCCAGACCTTCCTCAATTCTGTCAGGAGTCTTTTCATTTTCCCCTTTATGGAGGGTGTCTCATCCTCTTCAGACTCCGATAAGCCAGATAAGGCTTACAATCGAGGAGAGGGCAGAGATTCTTCTTCCTCTAGTGAAGCTTCAGATGCCTCGGACAAACAGTGGGCCTCAGGCACCATCTTGGGTCTCTGTGGGATCACAGGCGTCTCAAAAGAGGTATGTATATCTAGCTGGGGGGGGTACAGCTGGGTCGTGCGTCTTCTTATTTTTGTCTTTGCTTGGGGAGTGTCTGTGTCTCGAGCTGTATCGCTGCGGTAATCGTGATTTTCATCAAGTTTGTTTCTCTGCCTGACTCTTTTTAATTGGACCTGTTTTTGCTGCTGCTGGATCTTTGGACTACATCCTTGGTGGGGATAATACCACTTATGCGTATTGGATTGAGCAAACAGTACTTTGCTCTAAAGCATGTGAGTAGGTTTTTTTTTTAAATCTTTTTATTGTATTCTACACTCCATATTTACGGTGTACACTATTATGATTTTATTTGGTTTTTTTTATCATATACACACTCCCACTGACAAAGTTTGTCTACACCCATATCCATGAGTGGGGATCATACCACTTCATACGCTGATTTGGAGCCATATTAACGACGCCACTACATGTAAGTGTACATTTTATATTTATACCTACCCTTGCTCCATAGTCCGAATATAATACACTATACTACAATTTTTATCTATTTTATTTCTATGAGGATACCTCCCACTAATACAATCAAAAAAAGAATCAACTCTGCACTTTATCCTTAGGCAGGGATCATTCCACCCAGGCGCATAAGTTGGAGCTGCATTGAAGCTCCAAAAAAGTGTGAGTGTGCATTTTTTTTTTTAATCATATTTATAACAACTTCAGTTTTACTTATTTGTCAGGATTAAAAGTTGATCCAGCACACAGAACTGTGTCACACCTAGGACTAATGATAACGTATAACCGGACCTTAGAATGGCCGGACTTAACATATCTAAGAATAGGTCAACATACTTGCCAAGGTCAGGGACACTGAATCAGAAACAAAGATGAGGGAAAGCCAAAAGTCAAGGATACCAGAATTCAGGGAAGTCAAATACCAAAAAATCAAGAACAGGAACGCACTATCGGAATTACCATCAGGATGAAACCACGACAGGGCAATGAGCAAAAGGAAAATTGGGTTTAAATACCCCTCCTGTCGATCCGATTGTACGTAACCGGCCTTTGACCCCAAAAGCAATTACCAGGTTTCCATGTGCATGATTGCTGCTCGGCACAACTTTTCCTGTCAGGACGATAATGCCGCTCAGCACTATTTTTCCTGTCAGCACGGTAAATATCATTAACTGCATTTTTATGTGCGGATGAATACTTGACAATACTACATTATTAGTTTCTTCTGATCCTTTTCTCTTGTCGTTATATAGTCCCTGATCAGGACTCTTTAGGCGCTCCTGTGTTTTACCCAGCTTTTTAACTGGACAAGAGAGACTCCGTCCTTGGTGTTTGAGATGCCTTTGGACTGTAATCTTCTTCACAAGCCCTAAATTATAGTTTCTTATTTTATATAGAACATAGTGAGTCGATACCGAAATTTATATGCACTAACTTTCATTGCCGTCCCCCTCCTTCCCCTTTTCTTCTGTGCCCCCCCCTCCTTCCCCTTTTCTTCTGTGCGGCTATGCAACCTGAAAAATAAAAATTGTCAAATTAAAAAAAAAAAACATAGTGAGTCGAAATCTGTGCTTCATGGGTCCCAGCTCTCCTATCTGCCTGGATTTTTTGGGACTGAAGGGACGCTTTGCCACCAAGACATTATGGGATATTTAAAAAGAACAATGAATTAATATGTTCCCACCATAATTCCTCTGATCCTTGACATACCTATGCTTATTCTGTAACAATTGATGAAAATGTCCCATACTATGGCTTTTGTAATAATGATATCCCTGTTTTGGACTCCTCTTGTACTGTTCTTTTTCAGCTATATAATGCTTTTAGATTCGAACATTATCTCCCTCTGCCGCACAGGAAGATTTTACAAAATGCAGAGAATGTTTTTGTATTTCTTGAGAAGATTTTAGAGGAGCACAAGAGAACAAGAACACCTGGAGAACACAGAGACTACATTGACTGTTATCTGGAAGAGCTAGACAAGGTACATTTTAGGATTTAGCCCTCTAAAGCCTTGAATGGTAAATTTGCCTGTATACCATGGATTCCGTATCCATTAAAGCAGGGGTGGGGAACCTTCAGCCCTCCAGATGTTTTTGGACTACATCTGCCTTAATGCTCTTACAGCCATAATGCTAGCAAAGTTTTAAGGGAGATTTAGTCCACAACATCTGGAGGGCCGAAGGTACCCCACCCCTGCATTAAAGGGACACTATAGTCAGTAGAACAACTACAGCTTATTGTATTTGTCCTGGTAAGTACAATTCCCTTCAGTTCCCTTTTTGCAGTAAACACAGTCTTTTCACAGAAAATGCAGTGTTTACATTACAGCTTAGGGATACCTCCACTGGCCACTCCTTACAGGGCTACTAGAGGTGCTTCCTGGGACAGTGCTGCACAGGGTGACTGTCAATAATTGATTCAATGTATCTCTATGAGGAGATGCTGATTGGCCAGGGCTGTGTTGGCTTGTACTGGCTCTTTACCTGATCTGCCTCCTTGACAAACTCAGCCAATTCTATGGGAAAGCATTGTTTTTGGCTCAGAGAATCACTTCTGATGATGTCAGCCAAGCAGGCAGATCAGGGCAGAGTCAGCAGTTGCAAACGTTAATGCAAGTACGATTTTGCTATATTTAGGCGGGCATGGGAGAACATTGGGGACTAGATGGGGGTTTTAACACTATAGGGTCAGGAATACATGTTTGTGTTCCTGACCCGATAGTGCTCATTTAACTACTGGGGCTCTAAAGATGTGTTTCCATGTTGTGTGTGTGTGTGTGTGTGTGTGTGGGTTGTTTTTTTTTTGTTTGTTTTTTATGCTACCTTTTCTATTTTCAGTCACACGTTGCACACCACATTAGCCTGCAAACATTGGAGAGAAGAAACTGAAGACTAGTAGCCCATTCAAGGGGGGAAGAAAGGGGAACATCCATTTCCCCCTGAACTCCCTCTCTCAGCTACAAGTTTCTTCTCTGTGGCTTAAACTTTGGCCACAATTAAAGTTTCTTTAACATTCTCATAGAAAATCCGTATTCAATTCAACCGATATGATTGTTTTCTTTCTCATTCTAGTTTTTAAAAAGCAAGCTACCATGTGACTAACTGTGATAAGAATGTTACAGAAATGTCCTTGCTAGCTTCAGCTCACAGTCAGCAGTTATAAAGTTAATAAGTACTCCCAACTCCATTCTAGAGGCCATTATTTCACATAGGCGTCTTCTCACATCCTACTCAGGTCTCAGACTAACACAAAGCTGTTCTTACAAGACGCATGTTTGCCTCATAACCGTAATTGCCCTATGCACCTCTCTAACACCCTATCGGCCCTTCTCAGACTCTCATATTGTCTTATTATGGTACAGTTATTTTATATGATATATTGTATAGGGATTACTATTGCACAGCTATTGAGATACTGTGTTGACTAGACAGACATTACTTTTTTAATGAATTTGTCATGGGGTGTTACCTATTGCTGTTATAATTACAGGGAGTGCAGACTTATTAGGCAAGTTGTATTTTTGAGGATTAATTTTATTATTGAACAACAACCATGTTCTCAATGAACCCAAAAAACTCATTAATATCAAAGCTGAATATTTTTGGAAGTAGTTTTTAGTTTGTTTTTAGTTATAGCTATGTTAGGGGGATATCTGTGTGTGCAGGTGACTATTACTGTGCATAATTATTAGGCAACTTAACAAAAAACAAATATATACCCATTTCAATTATTTATTATTATCAGTGAAACCAATATAACATCTCAACATTCACAAATATACATTTCTGACATTCAAAAACAAAACAAAAACAAATCAGTGACCAATGTAGCCACCTTTCTTTGCAAGGACACTCAAAAGCCTGCCATCCATGGATTCTGTCAGTGTTTTGATCTGTTCACCATCAACATTGCGTGCAGCAGCAACCACAGCCTCCCAGACACTGTTCAGAGAGGTGTACTGTTTTCCCTCCTTGTAAATCTCACATTTGATGATGGACCACAGGTTCTCAATGGGGTTCAGATCAGGTGAACAAGGAGGCCATGTCATTAGATTTTCTTCTTTTATACCCTTTCTTGCCAGCCACGCTGTGGAGTACTTGGACGCGTGTGATGGAGCATTGTCCTGCATGAAAAT